CATACAGTTTTGTTAGAATTTATATCATTGTTAATACTATAAAAGTAAACATGTATTTATAACTAATTAGGTGACTTATTCCTTTCTAGGCTTCAGGTTTCTCCTGGGTAAAATGGAGTTAGCTGGTTGATTTCTAATGTTTCTTCCAGGTGTAAATAGTAACACTGATTTTTAAACAAGATAAGAAAAGTAAAATGCTCATTTCACAATATTTTTGTTAAAAATAGGTTATTAACACTAGTACTTATTAAATTTTGTGATGGGCTCTATCTAGAAATGTTCACGTGATTTCTCGCAAAGCTCTCCAGTCCTTAATACTAAGCTGGAACTAGTGAGTGATCTTACCGTTTTCATTGTTATTCCTTAAAGCTTACGTATAAGAGGAAATTTCATACTTTCCACTGTGTTACACAAACTACTTATTTAAATAAAACCATTCTTTTCTGGATCTGAAATTAATCAAAATGTCAGTTTATTTTAATTCACATTTATTTAAATATAACAATTTTTGTAGACAAATGAAAATACATATAATCATATTTATAACATGGTAGACATAAATATAAATGAAATGTATAAGTATTTAAGGCAAAATTTAACACTTAGATAAATTGATGACATGCTTACATTTAGCTTTAAGGTACATTAACATGGATATTGAAAAAGATGTGCTTTCACAAAAACTGCTACAAAATGTTCACATCTGTGTTAGTAATAAGTCATATTTCCTAGGCTGATGTTTTACCGAAACTATGTAAAGATCTAATTTAATCATTCGTCTCATGTGATAACGTTACTTGTAAATGAAGCATTTTTGTCAATAGAAATGTTCCTTTATCTTTTAAATAATATAGCATTTTTATCAAGACCAAGCCACATTTATTAAACAAACATGCATTACACATTAAAGCTTGAATAATTAACGTACCCTTATGCACAGTGTTTAGTTTTGCTATGGCACTCTATCTTTGTGAAAAATATGCTTAAAATTTGGCACAGAATTAATAAAACGTATTGCTACTATTTACAACAAATGTGATTTAAATTTTACATGGCACAGAAAATTATCTATTATAATTTATCTCTTCCTTTTGCAGTTTTTATTGACCAATGGCAGGTCCTTTCTCTTTTAGTTGGAATATATAATGGCTATTCAAGAACTAAAAGTCATATCTAGGTGTTTTGCCTAATTGGAAATGAGTCGATTTCAGTTTTTCTAGCAATAAAACATTTCCATCCGTACTGTGGCCAACAGATTTCTAGGTAAGGATGTTATCAGCAATAATATGTGTCATCAAGACATGTTTTTCTTTAGGAGGCAGAGGTCGAAAGGAAGTGTGGATCTCCTCAAACACTAGTAAGGAGAACAAACGCCAACTAAGGCAGAAGCAGGGACGGTTCTTCGGAAAGCTGGCGAGAGCACAGTCTGAAGTAACAACAAGGCGGAAAACAAAGGCAGAAACACGGGATCGTTCAAGGTGGGAAGGACTGACACAGGTTTAAGGAAACTGAAATTTATCTTTCAAAGAAACAGTATCCAGAACATTCTTGTTATAGCATTCTTATATCAGCAAACTCCCACTGCTTTTTAGGAAAACTTTTCAATTTCCACATCAATGTCTAAATCAACAGTGAAGAAATTAAGCTAACTGCCAAAATTTTTTTCCCTGAATTTATTCATAAACACTTTGGAAGAAGAAGGAATAATATTAATTCAACCTTCCTCCAAACCAGAGAAAAGAATTTTAAGGGCAGACTTCAGACTTGTGGTAACTGAGGCAAATGCCACAGTTCTTCTTCATTGTTCTTTTAAGGGAAATTTGAGGTGTTCTATCTTGAGATCCTGGTTGAAGGAATCTACTCCTTTCATAAAACCTTGATTGCCTAATTTTCATATTATTTGGGAGAAAGGAAGTGATGCTTAAATTCAATTTTTATACAAATATACTTTATTCTAAGAAATAGAGCAATGAGAATAATATTTTCTCTGCTTTATGATCCTTGCTTTTCTGAAGGCCTTTAAACAGGGAAATGGCAAAGAATATCAAACAAGTTAAATAAAACAGGCAAACTTGTGTTTTAAAGCTGTTAAGGTACAAACAAACATTATGAATCACACAGCACTGAATTTTCAAGAGTAAAATCATACCAAAACCGTGATAAGTTTTCGCTGACATCATAGGTGAGTAAGTGGTCTGGAAGGTCACTGATGGTGCCCTGCACGGCCAGCACGTGCGGGGCCAAGGTGAAGGGTACGTCGCTCAGAAGCTCGGCCATTAACGAGCTGTTTTCCAGAGTCTGGCCTGCCTTATTTTCCGCCTCAGGGCTTGCTACAGTCACACTGGATGAGTTTTCTGTGCCAGTCTAAAAATACATATATATATTTAAATCATTTAGACCTTATGAACTTGGAGGTTTAGTAATGGTGAATGTGGCATGACTATACCAGAATAATTGAGAAACAAGGGAATATACAAATATTTCTAGATTAGAATGCACCTATATACTCTGCTTGAGAAATACCTCCATCTAAAGCTCTAGTAGCCTTTAAAATGAATCCTAAACCCCATTCTTATTCAGATTGCCCACCCATGGCACCCTCAAATACAAACTGACATTCTTGCTATTTCTCAAGGACAGATAATGTCTACAAGCCTGTCTCTGCTTTTCCAAACCAGGCTCTACGGAATTATCAAGATTCCCTGTGAAATCTTGTATCAACACAGGCCAAAGGGACTTTGCCCACTTCTGAACAATTATGGGGCAAACTGCCTAGGATGCTATTTGGCATTTCCTATATGTGTCCTTGCTAGTTGCTGCTTCATATGCATGCCTCTTATCCCCGCCTAGACTCTAGCGTCCTTGAGGACAAGCAATCTATCTGACATATCTCTGTATTCTCCACTCTTGAGTACTTGACGACCTTACCCTAATATGTTACCTCTAATGTGGTACCATGAGCACTGACTAGTTGCCTGACTTTCACTGGAACTAACATGTTATGTAAGTTATTCAAATAAGAACTGATATATCATGTTCAGTTTCTTTATAATTGGCGTATCTTGCATGCAGTAGTTTACCAAAAGGCATGCACTAGGATGTTCAGAGCAGCTCTCTATGCAAGTTCCACAATGGCTGAAACCTAACTAAAAACAGTTTAGGCAAAAACTTACTCCCTAACCCTCACCTGGTCTCATGCAGAATAAAATGCCGGAGTCTTTACAGAGGCCTGCAAGGCCCTTGGGGACCCGGCCCCAGGTATGTCTCTGGCCTTATCCTCAGCCAGTCTGCCTGGCTCCCTCCTTGCTGTTGCTCATGCGCACCCAGCTGCTTCTGCCTCAGTCCTTTGCTTTCCTTTCCTGATGCCCAGGAGGTTCTTCTCCCAAATACACATTGGGCTCCTTCCCTCACCTCTTTCCAAGTGTTGGCCCAAATGTCACCTTCTCAGTGAGATCTTTTCCTGACCACCTACCTTATTTAAACTGTATCCTGCCCACCTCACCTCCTCCACCCCAGCACACTCTGTCTCTCTCGCCTGCTTTCCCCCTCTCCATGGTCCTTAGCACCTTGTAATATGTTATATCATTTATTCTGATTGTCATCTTGTGTTTACTGCTGTATCCCAAATGCCCAGATCAGTGCCTAGTGCTCAATAAATAGTTCTTGACTGGATGAAAGCAGACAAGATTTTTGCCTGCATGGGGTTTACATTATAATGGTTATAAATGCTGGTAAATTCCTTTAAGTCTAGAGGAGGAGGATTTTTCTGTGTAATAAAAAGTGACTTTTTAAAACTTTTTATGGAAGGGTAAAATACATACAGAAAAGAGCATGTCATAAGTGTACAGCTTGCTAAATTTTAACCAACTTAAACACCTGTACGCAACCGGCACCCAGATCAAGGAACAGAAATGACCAGCCCTTACGGTGCTCTCTTTCAGTCACAATCAACTCCCTGTCCCCACCCCCCATCACCATCCTGACTTCTAACAGCATTTAACCTATTTTTATATTTTAAATGAAGGTAACCATACAGTATGAACTCTTGTTTCTGGCTGCTTTCACTCAACATTATATGTAGGAGATTCAACCATATTGTTGCATATAGGATCAAAAGAACATATTGCTGCAAAAGAGATATATTCAGATTGATGGCCAGGGAAGGAAGCAGGAAGACCAGCTGGGAACGAGAGATGACTGTGATGTGGATCAGGTTGTGATAGTAAAGGTGAGATGAAACACTTGGATTCTGGAGACTTTAAGGAAAAGGCTAACAGGATTTGCGATGGAATGGATGTGGGGTGTGAGAGCCAAGAGTGGGGTCAAGGATGAAGCCAAAGTTTTTGGCCTAAGCAACAGGATAGAGTCTCCATTTACAGGGATGGGCAAATATTGGGGGAGCAGGGTTGGACAGGAGTATCGAGTCCAGTTCTGCATGTTGCCGGTGCCTAACAGACATCCAGTGGAGCTGTCAGTAGGCAGGAGGATCTAATTTGAGTCTGGAGCTGGATGAGATCTGGTGGAGAAAGTCTGCTTGGTGTGTGTTTAAAACAAGGATGAGAGGAAAGAAGGTGAAGGCAAATACGAGCACAGACGAGTTTTTCTAGACAGTGTGCCATAAATGAGAAAAGAGCTATGGGCCAGTAGCTGGAAAGGGATGTGGGGTCAACTGAGGTTTCTCTCAATTTGATTTTCTGTTTTCTAAGTTGGCAGAAATAATGGCATTTCATATCCTAATGTGAAGAAGTTCATAAGAAAGGAAAAATCCATGGAGAGTCTGCAGAGGAGAAACTGCTCTCTTCACAGGCATCCCCCAGCACGTAGAACAGGCCCTCAAGAAATACTTGTTTAGTGAATGTCCTCAAATTAATGAAGTTGCCAAACCCATCCCTATCAGGAGTGGTCTTATAACTTTATGTGAAAATGAAACACCAGAGTCCTTTCTTAGGACCACAAGTAGAACAAAAGGAACCACACCCTGTTATGACAAAGCTTATTACAAAAGTCCATTATTCAGTGGACAGAACCTGCCTCCTGCAACCTAAATGGGACTTAAATACAAAGTGTCCATGGATCAGCCAAGAGTACACCTATCAGTGAGTAATGATGTCGCAATTCCAGCCTCTGTAAAGGGCTTCACCATATGCTGGTTTCTTCAAGATGAAGCATACAGTAGGGCTTTGGCTCCCATGGAGCAGCACTGCAGCGTCTAAGAGCACAGGTTCTAGAGCCAGACTACCTGAGTGCAGATCCTAGGTCTCCTGCTTATTAATAAGTGAATGGCCTTGGGCAAGTTATTCAACTTCTCTGTGCCTCAGTTTCCCTAGCTGTATAATGAGGTCAATAATAGTACCTACTTCATAGTATCATTAGGATTAAATAATGTTCATAAATAGAACAGTTCTGAGCTCATGAGCACATAGTTAAGTGAATAAATAAAAACTTTAGGAATGTCAGCTCCCATTTGGTTTTAGATAAAGTCTACGATCCATCCATCTCTTTTGTTTTTGACATTCAGTGTCAAAATATTCTTACCTTCCCCTCCCCTCTTGTATTTTTCCTTCTCTTTTAATCTCAGGTGCAAATGTTCCCTAGATCTGTTAGTCTTGTTTTATTCTTGAACTTGCTTCTCTTTCTTCCTTGTGTACAAAATGTTCTCCAGTTTCATTAGCCAAATCATCTCCCTTCTTAAACAAAAGCATTCTTGAAATCTCACCTTCTCCACTAAAGCACTTTGCTTTCTAAACACAAAATGTCTAAGGTTTAACTCTCCAACAGAAATATTTATATCTTTCTTCATGCTTTTATTAATCCTTTTCCCTTTCCTTTACAAATCATTCTTATTTGCCAGAACCTAATTCCTTGAGGACAAGACTATGTCAAACTATATCTAGAATAATAAAGGAATTGAGATGCGGTTTCTTGTTAAAGTTCTCCTCATACAACTGCCATATGACCAGAAGAGGGATTACTTCACCCACCTGGGCCTCAGTTCTCTATTTTGTAAAATGAGTGGTGAGGACAGAAAAAAATGATGATGACAGCAACTTGCATATTTTGAACACTCACTTTGTGCTAGGGTCCACCAAGGCTATTTAAATGTGTCCACTCATTTAAGTCTTAAAATAGCTCTGGGCTGTGTACCATTAGTCCCACGTTAAAAACAAGAGGACGCTAAGGCACAGAAAGGTTAAGAAAGTTGTTCCAGGTTACACAGCTAGTCTGTGGTAAAACTGAAGATCCGACCCAGTTATCTCTAATGAGCTCGTACATTCTAAGGCCCTGCATACTTCAGACATGCTTTGGATAGACTGTCTGATGGAATGAACAATGCCTTGAAAATTTAGGAGATGTTATTGGAAAATATAACAGTTACTAATATGGCATTTAGAAGGAAAAAAGACTCTAATATCTTTTACCTTTAGGAAGAAAGGACAGAAACTCATTAAGGTGACAGATCTTAGACTGAAGGAAGATGGAAAAGCAACTGTAATTTAAAAGATGTGTATCCCTGGGAATACACATTTCCCTATCCAGCAGTCTGATAGGGAAACACCACAGACAGTGAAACGAGATTGTCTCTGAGTCAATCACTGTTGAAACGGAGATAGGAGGGCACATAGGAATACACTACAGTATTCTTACTACCACTATATATGTTTGAAATTTTCCATAATAAAAACTTTCCAAAAATTAAATTAACTTTTAAAATACCATGGGCAAAGTGTTCCGCCAAATGCCTCCTAGAAAGCTCTGCATTTCAGCGGCGCTGCAGGTACTACTCCAGCCTCTATCGCCTAACAGTTGGCTGGAGTGCAGTGTTACAGTCTCCAAGGAAGCTGCCTGGCCTCTTGGCAGCAGGGTGAGCGCCATGATGCAGCTGCTGTTGGCATGCTGAGAGCTGGAAGGGGAGAAATTATAAGGCAAAACAAGAATAAGTCACAAAAGAAATGTGACTCAAAATTCAAGGAGCCCACACCCGCTAACCCTGATCACTAAGTCTCTAGCTTGGCAGCCAGTGGAAGCAGAGGTGGGGGCTGAGGGCTGAAACAGGTGCATAGTCCCCTGCAAAAAGCAGCCCTCTCTCTCAGACACAAAGTCTTTTAGATTTTTCATTTGCATAATGAAATGGATCTTTAAAGGGAAGAATAAGTATGTTAACTACAATAGAGCAAGAAGAAAAGAATCGATTAACCTTATGGTTAATAGCCAAATTTTAAAAAATTACTTCAAATATTACGTTCATAAACATATTCGTGATTTTTGATTAATACTGTTCATAGAAATGCTGCTATGGCAGTGTTCCTGAATATATTATTTCATATAATCTAGCTTTAATACTTCTTTCCCAAATGAGCATTTGT